AGCAGTGTACTATGCTGATTGCATGACCACATGATATATAAGGCCTTTTTTAATATCTTTCATATATTGTACTCTCTCTCTAATTAATATATATATATAACTATATATATACAATATATATATATGTATTGATCTCTCTCTCTCTCTATATGGAAAGCACATTTGGATCTTTTTGGACAAGCTGTGCCTTGACCGCCTTCGCCTAGGGGTGGCAGCCTGAAGAGATGCGCTATGCCTTGCGACTCCTTGCTTTTGTGCCTTTGGAATATTTTGAGACAGCGGAAGTATATTGATATTTTTGCAAGAACATCATTGTGTGTATCTTTTTTCCTGTGATTGTGCAGCTTTGTCACAAGGTGCTTTCTTGGGAGCCTTGGCAAAGTTAAATTCTCAAACGTTCAATCAATAAAATCGAAGGGCCATGACATGCTCAACAGTCAGCTTCGATTGCAAGCCTTGAGAACGAACATGAAACCAATTGACATGTTGAAGCAACACCTAAGCATCATGAGCCAAGCAATCCTTGGGTCAAGATAGTGACAAAACATGACAAACTCTCCAAATGACCGGAGGACACCCGAGGGTTTGATGCGAAGGCCTTAGCCGACCAAACTGCCACAGAGAAGAGAGAACTTGAAGAAAGGATGATCAGCAGAAGAGATGCAGGGTCTCAAAGCTCGCGCCTTCCGAGGGGCCGGAAGTTCAACCAGCAGATGTCCAAGTGGAAAGCTCGGCCTTTTTCAGGCAAGATGCATTTTGGTGGTGTTGTTTATCAGACGAGAAGCAATGATTTCAATGGGTCAATTTCATGTCAATGGCCTTTGCAACATGGCGACTAAGGTGCACTTGTCGCGGCTCACGGAGTCGCTTGTGAAGGTGGAATGTGTGATGAAGAAACATGAAGAGCCCTTCTAGAGTGGAGTATCCGTGATTGTCAATGGTTTTTGTCCCGTGGCGTTTGAAACCTTTCTTTAGTACATTGCAAGGTGATGGCCATCTACAAGACTTTCCTTGCACTCAAGCTGCACAAGATGGACCCACGATCAACTTGTTTGGCTATCACAAGGTCACAAAAGGAGCTACGTACATCTAAATACAATTAAAGCTTCCAAGCTATCAAGCTAAGATCGTCTGACAGGCATGATTTCTCCTGCTTCATCCTTTCAGCTCTTTTTTCCTGCTCGCTATTGCTCCACGACGTTTTACTTTGACTTTCGCGCCTTTGCGGCACTCGCACCTGGCGCACCGCGGGCACGGCGAGCAAGCGAGGCCAGCCTCGATGAGTCCGACCTCAGTCGTGCCATCCTCGATCAAACGACCCGTTCCGAAACGGACGTGCAATGTGCGGTCAACAAGTAGGAACAAGTGCATCGCTACTAGTAACAAGTGCCTTACTACTAGTAACAAGTGCCTTACTACTAGTAACAAGTGCCTTACTACTAGTAACAAGAAGCTAGTAGAAACAATATATAAATTCGATTTTAATTGGGACCCCAACTGAGGTGGGCTCTACCGTCCCTGCAATGTGCGTCTTGACTTGAAATTCGGGCGGGCCCATCGGGGCAGACTAACTAACAATGGTATGGTATTCGACCTGTTCGACCTTGTAGCAAGGCATGCTCCAAGTTTTGCCAGTTGCATCAAGTTAACCGATGCCAAGATATGCCAAAAACAGCTTACATCTTCTCTACGACTCAGAGGTTGCAGAGCCTGATCGGTGCTTTTCCCACACTCTCTGATCTGTACTTCCTCTTCTCTTTCCGCGATAGCAGGGCCTAAAAAGAACTGTTTTAAAGAACTTTTCAAAAGGCCGCTCAGCCCCCTCCGAGAAGCGATGGCCTCCAACCTACTAGCGATGCCCTCCACCCTACTGAGGTTGCAGAGCCTACAAACTGCGTTGTTGGGCATCCAGACAGAACCTTCCAGTGTCCCTTGCTTGATTGGCGGATCGCCATGAGTGCTTTTGGGTTCCATAGATGGGCCAGGCCAGGGGTGGGTGGTGTTTGTGTTTCAAGAACCGCCTTGGACCTGGGAGTTCAAACTTTCAATCCTTGGTGCAGCCAAGGAGAGTGTGGCTGCTTGGCTTGCTGGCACAGAATCTGGGCAAGCATTGGCCCAGCCTTTTGATGGATCGCCGGGAGTCAAAATGGTGGGCTTCTTGCTCCTAGTAGCGATGCCAGGAGCCCCTAGTAGCGTCCTTGCTCCTAGGAGTAAGGCCAGGAGCCCCTAGTGGCCCTAGTAGCTTCTTGTTCCATGGATGGGCTTGAGTTCCAAGGACGTTTTGGATAGCCTGAGCAAGCTCCTTTGCCAAAGCCGATGTCGTAGCTACAGCCACTTGACGTCGCTTGAGCAAGGTCTACCGCTTGACTGAATACATATTGAAGAGTGAGTTTGAAACATGGGTGCGTATTGGACTAGGGAGACACCAAAAGACCCCTAGGTCGGAGAAAACGTGGACAGGTCTGACAAGTAAACAAAAAGTGAGACTGCTGACCACCAAGGCTTTGTGCATGGTCATGCAGTAGCACTTCTCTTCCCACCAGCAACGCAGATGACCTGTCGCTTGGCCTTTGCAAGAGGCTAAAGTACTGCTTTCAGATACATTGCTTTGCATAGCACTTGAACCCAGATGGGGTCTCAATTACAAGCCGGACTTCTTTAAGAGTCCGTGGACCAGACATAGAAATGGAGACTTGGAAAGTCTGGGAATAACCTCACGATGGAGCTCAGGCAAAGCCTTTTTCGCGAAAGATAAGATGCTCCTGCAAAGTGATGCTATTTGCAAAAATGTCTCGAAGCTGATGAGGGCCATGGTGAGCCTTGACGAAACTTAACTGTGGAGGTTGCGATTCCAAGAAGCCGGCCTGCCATACCACCAGGGACCTTGGGTGTTGCAGTAAGCAATTCCGGACTGGCTTTGCTTGAGTATTTGCGGTGCATCTCACCTGCTCATTGGCAGCTTTTGACCAAGCCACTGTCCCAACCTCATTGCCCATCTAATCATCAGGTGGTCCACCAGGAACACACGTCACGCCTGACTTTGGTTCGGAAAAACCTCGCTCGAATTTACTTGAATGCTGAGAGTAACGGGGGTGGGGCAGGTGCATACAAGAGCTTAACACGCACGGTTTTCACAGCTTATGATGCTTATGCAGATTAACAGCTACATGGTTCCTGGCCCGCGTGTTGGGTGGCCTGGGTGGCCAACGGACGGACATGGACTTGAGGAACTGGACGGACATCAACGGAAGCAGTACCTCTTCGAATTGGAGCACAAGTTTGGACGAGGCCATTCAAAAGATTAGCCTGCCCCAGTTGCTTGGCAGCAGAAACTGGCAGCACAAACCGGTTTGGAGAAATGTTTGGTTGTTTGTTTGAAAGACACCCAACAGACCGATTGATTTCATATGATTTCATACTCAACAAGCCGCAACAAGCCGTTTGGATGTGAAGTTCTGAAGGCTGGCTCGGCTCCTGAACAGACTCAAGCTGCCACCCACACATGTCACCTGGCAGCGTGGAAGACCCATAGTGCGCGCATATCTATGTGTAAATAATATGAGTAGTTTGGACGCTGGAAAAGAAATGACAAACGACATCAAACAAGCGATCACCTTGTGACCAAAATAATTGTTATTGGACAAGATGAGCTACAGAGTGTGAGACTTTCCAACAAATGCTTGTTTTTTTGCGTGATATCAGGCCATTGACTTGGTGGTCGAGCCGGCGACATTTAAGACCGCAATAGAGAAACGAAAAGAGGTGGAGCCGTTGGAACAGACAGCATGCTCTGATGTCGTCTCCACAAAAGCACAGACCTCTTCGTGACTTTGCCTCTTAACGCTTGCTTGCAATGCCAGGGTAAGTTGAGAGAGTGGACTCAGTTCGACATCATCAATCTGTTAGACGGCCCTTTGCCAGCAGATTGTGCGAGGGTTGATAAATCCAAAGTCACGCAAGACTAATTCTTCTCTGACTGCCCAAATTATGGTATTGGCAGTTCATCAAGAATCAACTTATTGAAACACACTTACATTGGACATCACACCGGCTGACTCCGGCTGTGAAACCCCCTTTTGCCTCCAAACTGCCCACTGGACCCACAGAATCTGCGACGATCCGGTCGATGCCCATCCAGGCTCGCCGCTCCCACTGATTTGCCTCTTCCCAAGGCGGATTTTGCAGATATAGGGATGATATAGGACAACATTCGAGTCATGTTTGGCCATTGGATTCTTTCTGAGTCAAGCACTTGTTTCATTTCGTAGGCAAAACATTCCAGAGCGCGGTCTTTGTTGACGATGAGCTGAGCTTGGAGGGCCGCGCTTTTTATACATGATGCTCCATGGCTTTTGCACGTGCTTGGTCTGTCCACCACGCGAAACTGAGCAGGGCCGGCCTAAGGCCCCAAGGCCTAAGCCTATCAATGAATTCTTCTTTCACTTCCCTATTGGAGATTGCAGTGTTGAAGTTGGTGGAGGACCAGAACGTTTGCTGTAGGTCGTTCTGCAACCATTAAGAGCACCTTTTCTGCGCAAAAGCAAATCCAAGACTGTATTCTTCTCCAGATCCCAACAACAACAACGACAACAACGACAACAACAACAACAACACCAACACTCACAATGCTAGAGCTTTTGCGCAGCTGTCGAATTCCATCTTCAGCCTTTGCTGCTGCATGGGTGGATGCCCCAACTCCAAGAATTGGATACAGGGCCCTCACTGTCTTGAAAGCAGGACAACATGTAGGATCATGCAAGCTGGTTCAGGCCTCTTGTCTTTAGGTTTGGCCAGCTGGTACGTCAGGTGTTAGTCTAAGCCCGGAAAACAAGCTTCTTGCTGCTAGTAGTAATGGCCTCCAACCTAATAGCGATGGCCTCCACCTAGTAGCTTCCAGCTACTAGTAGCGACGCCCTTTGTTACTAGTAGCGTCCTTGCTTGTGACATTCAGCCAGATCCGGGACAGTGAGATCCGATCCATGTCTTGGCCCATCGATCGCGGCTCAAAAGCAAACCGGGGTGCCGGAGGAGGCGCCCCAGCGGCTGTCCGGCAAGGTGCGCAACGCGTCCTCGGTCGTTCGGAGCTGCTGAGATGTTGGATTCCATTCGACTCTTGGAATGTGTCCTGGTTTCCTTGCAAATCTGCTGATATCTGAAATTGGAATAGCATTGGATTATTTGGCACTAGTTTTATCTAGTTTTTTGATATTGTGGAATCTTTCTGTTCTGAGAGTCTGTCTCCATCGCTTCATAAACAGTTGTTCGACAGTTGTTTGGATTGCTTGGACGATGTTAACATCACAGAACAAATGGCTTCATTGCCGAGCTTCGGGAAAAAACGTTCCTGTGAGGTGGTGTGCCAACGTCACCATGGCGACGACCGTGAAAGTGGCGAGTCAAGCCAAGCCAATCAGCTGCAATGAGCAGCAACTTCGCAATTCATCAATGAACTAGGAGGATGCCCCTTTTTCTTAAATTCCTTATGAACTAACTCCTGCCAAATTGCTAGAATGGAACGGAGAAGCTTTCTTTGCTCAGGTGGGAGCCAGGAATGCAGGACAGCTGTTGGATTTACACTTGCATGGATTGGGGGTTACTTTTGGCTTTGCCCCCGCGGGCATCCTTTTGCTTTAGAACCCTCCGTTTGTGTCTCATGCCGCTTCCCGGGAACAGCAGGAGTCTGATTTGATGGACGCCCTGCCCAATGGCAAAAGTCGAATGGATGCACAGTGCAGCCCTCAGCGGAATGGCTTCGGCCCCGGCCTTCAGCTTGGGGTGTCCTGATAGAGCATAGTGCATCCTCAATCGATGGCAGGACACAGAGCATCATGCTCGTCTCCTTGGGGTGCTATTGTGGGCCGCGCTCTGGCTGTGAGAAGTGTCACCTCTCCTGTTGAGAACAAATTGTTGGAACACTTGGACTCAGCTTTGGATTGGTTGTGGTCTTCAAAGAAGGCATGAGAACATCACGAGAGAATGCCACATCCGGCTAGCAGGCTCGCCTGGCTCGCGCCCAGGAAGCTCTCGTTCAAGAACATCGGACGAGGGGCGGAGACCTTGCCCTTTGACTGGATGCGAACTCGTCACGAGGTACGCCGCCGATTTTGGAAATTGGACTCGACCAAAGCAATGTTGGACGAACAAATCTCGAGATTCTGCATCGTGACAAATCTCGAGCATTGCTGTCTCAGGGCTTGATGCACTTTCTACAGGGCAACTGGGACGAAGAAAGCAACTACAATGGCTGCCTGTCTGCAAAATATTGAATACAATGACAGGCATTATTAATTTGGCCTTTGGTCCAACCAGCCCAAGTTCGGCACTTTACCACAACTCCAGCGACCCACGCACACTAAGAAACTATTCTAGTCTGGAAACATGTACTTCAACATTGCTTCGTCGACGCGAGCTAGTGCTGCGCTGTGACATACATGCGAAACTCCTGCTATCGTATGTTAGACTTATATACAACAAAACTGTGCAAGGCTTTATGTAGATTACATTCATCGATCATCATCAAAGGAAGTTTAGTGTGCAAAACTTCCGTGTTACGGACATTCAACAGCTGTTCAATACAGCACTCACCGTACACCACTCATCATACACCACTTATCATACACCCCTCATCATACACCGCTCATCATACACCACTCATCATACACCACTCATCATACACCACTCATCACACACCACTCATCATACACCACTGGTGAGATGACTCAGATTTCGTGGCAGGCGCAGCACTTTGTGAAGTTGATGTGCAGATTTCGTGGCAGGCGCAGCACTTTGTGAACCTCCATGGCAAGATTTCGTGGCAGGTGCAGCACTTTGTGTACCTCCAGGTGCAGATTTCGTGGCAGGTGCAGCACTTTGTGAACCTCCATGTGCAGATTTCGTAGCAGGCACAGCATTTTGTGAACCTCCATGTGCAGATTTCGTGGCAGGCACAGCACTTTGTGAACCTCCAGGTGCAGATTTCGTGGCAGGCGCAGCACTTTGTGAACTTCCATGTGCAGATTTCGTGGCAGGCACAGCACTTTGTGAACCTCCAGGTGCAGATTTCGTTGCAGGCGCAATACAAAATGCGTTTTTTGGAGAGAGCGGACGCACGAAATGCTGTATTTTTCAATAGAACCGGTGGCTTCAAACCTGGCAAGTCTAGCTCTGCGGAACGACGGGTGCGAGACGGTCTCGGGTCATTCTCGGATCATGCTCGGACATGTCGTCCCTCCATTGGGATTAGAGTTTTCACTTGTTTCTTGAAGTGCAGATTTCGTGGCAGGCACAGCACTTTGTGAACCTCCATGTACAGATTTCGTGGCAGGTGCAACACTTTGTGAACGTCCATGTGCAGATTTCGTGGCAGGCGCAACACTTTGTGAACCTCGAGGTGTAGATTTCGTGGCAGGCGCAGCACTTTGTGAGCGTCCATGCGCAGATTTCGTGGCAGGCACAGCGCATTGTGAACCTCCAGGTGCAAATTTCGTGGCAGGGGCAGCACTTTGTGGAGCTCCATGTGCAGATTTCGTGGCAGGCGCAGCACTTTGTGAACCTCCACATGCAGATTTCGTGGCTCCATGTGCAGATTTCGTGGCAGGCACAGCACTTTGTGAACCTCCATGTGCGGATTCCGTGGCAGGCGCAGCACTTTGTGAACCTCCAGGTGCATCCTGGTATGAATTTCCACTATGAAATCAAAGGGGCGTGCTGCCTGTTTATAGTTAAAACTATTCCCGGGAGTTGAACTATAAAATCGTGATCACTAAATTGGCCTTAAGACAGCTTATTTTTTTCTGACAGGATGACTGGTGGTTCAAAAGTGAGATCATGATTTTATAAGAAACCACGATTTCAAAAAATAAGCAGTGTACCCAAACATTTAGAAGACAAATTGATTCTATAAGGAATACGTGTTATTGTGAAATATGGTTTTAATGTTATAGTATATTTGTTTGCCTGAGATTTTATAGGGGGCCACCTGGAAAATTGTAATACATGTTGATTCTACAGGTGAATTGGCTAATTCCAAAATCATAAATTGATTCTATAGTCACATTGATTTTATAGATTGAAAAGTGACCACTTCCAGACAACATTGATTATATATTGTGGAGTTGTAGATGTGAAAACTCATTTTTGACAATATAGGAGGTCTTTTGGTCTAAATTTGGACAGTGATTGCTCTTTCATTTTATAAATTCCAGCCGAAGAACAGATGCATGAGCTTGAACTTCCGGAGCTGGAACATCTTTCTTCTCCCCCTCAGATCCCAAGAATTTCCTATCATCTAGCTCCTAGCATGGCTATAAATTCAGCTTTGCAGGAAGGACACGGGTCTCAACAGAACCTCTCACCCCAAAATTCCAAAACCAAAATCTGAATATTTGGATTGCCTGGATGTGAGGTTCCAGGAATTCTGGAAGGCTGGGAGCTTTCAAGGACAGGAAATCCAAACTTGGATTCTGCTGGAACCAGTCAACTCACAAGGGCTATAACATCAAATACCTGCTCTAAATGAAAATCTTGCTGTAAACGGAATCACTGCTTGATTTGAATCGCTTGCAGGCTCGTGTCTCTGTTCCGTTTGGCGTCTTTCCGATTTCTTTGAGTTGACTGTTCAAACAAAAAAATTGCTATAAATTCAAAGGGCCAAGACGCTCTGGCGCCAAGTTTTCATAAAGTCATAAATCTGTTGTTGCTGTACTGGCATGTTGTGGACCTGTGCACCCCATTCTATAGTGACTTCATTTGGCTGTCCTGTGAGCTAAGGATGCCAGGTTGTTTCCATAATCGTATTGATTTTATAGGTCTCAGTGTGTGTGCAGGCTCATGAAAATGACATTTTATAGAGTAACCCTCCCCCCCCCAAACCCAACCCTGCAAGTTAAGTGCTATAAAATGGGGGGGACAGGTAGGTATGGAAATCCCCACGGGGATCCAGGTGCAGATTTCGTTGCAGGCGCAAGACAAAATGCGTTTTGGAGAGATAGCGGACGCACGAAATGCTGTATTTTTCAATAGAACCGGTGGCTTCAAACCTGGCAAGTCTAGCTCTGCGGAACGATGCGAGACGGTCTCGGGTCATTCTCGGATCATGGTCGGGCATGGTCGGAATCGTCCCTCCATTAGGATTAGAGTTTTCACTTGTTTCTTGAAGTGCAGATTTCGTGGCAGGCATAGCACTTTGTGAACCTCCATGTCCAGATTTCGTGGCAGGCGCAGTGCTTTGTGAACGTCCATGTGCAGATTTCGTGGCAGGCGCAACACTTTGTGAACCTCGAGGTGCAGATTTCGTGACTTCGAGGTGCAGATTTCGTGGCAGGCACAGCACTTTGTGAACCTCCATGTGCAGATTTTGTGGCAGATGCAGCACTTTGTGAACCTCCAGGTGCAGATTTCGTGGCAGGCGCAGCGCTTTGCGAACCTCCATGCGCAGATTTCGTGGCAGGCACAGCACTTTGCGAACCTCCATGTGCAGATTTCATGGCAGGTGCAGCACTTTGTGAACCTCCATGTGCAGATTTCGTGGCAGGCGCAGCGCTTTGTGAACCTCCATGTGGAGGTTTCGTGGCAGGCGCTGCTGAGAACTGGCGGCTTTCTAGTACCACTTTAGTACGCGGAGCAATCTGTAGAGCTGGAAGCTGAGAACTGGCGACTTTCTAGTACAACTTTAGTACGCGGAGCAATCTGTAGAGCTGGAAGCTGAGAACTGGCGACTTTGTAGTACAACTCTAGTACGCGGAGCAATCTGTAGAGCTGGACTTTCTAGTACAACTTTAGTACGCGGAGCAATCTGTAGAGCTGGAAGCTGAGAACTGGCGACTTTGTAGTACAACTTGTAGAGCTGGAAGCTGAGAACCGGCAACTTTTTAGTACAACTTTAGTACGTGGAGCAATCTGTAGAGCTGGAATTTAGCGGAGTGACTCTGGAGACTGGCTTTCACAGACTGGAGCCTCCAGTTCGTATCAAAGTTGAGGAGATGCCATTCCGAACTGATGGAACCTACGACACCGACACTCTGCTGCGTCATGTCGGACGTCGCCCCGACGATGTTGCTGGAAATGTATAGCTACATTTGCTCCGACGCGCGGTGCTGTGACCCGCGTCATGTCGCCACTTTCGTAGCTACAGAACCGCCCCAGCTGCCCGTTGTTCCACCTCGTCCAGCCCCTGCCGGAGCTACTGGGCCACCCGGTCCTTGCTTTGCCGGGAGGCATCGATCTGCGTGCGTCGCTGTGGACCGCGCAGACAGCCGGGAAATGCACTTGCCTTGCCGGAGCTACTGGGTCACCCGGTCCTTGCTTTGCCGGGAGGCATCGATCTGCGTGCGTCGCTGTGGACCGCGCAGACCGCCGGGAAATGCGCTCGCCTTGCCCCAGCGAGGAACAGTTTCGCTGTTTTTGAGTTTGAAAACACCTCCCACTTCGCGTGCTCGCAGGAACTGCACTTAACTTTCGATTGCAGCTGCCCAGTTGCTTCAGCACGCCGGTGTGGGCTGCTGATCTTGCTTTGCCACAGACACAACCCAGTACGCTGTTGTGAGCTGCTGATCCTGCAGGAAGCACAGACCTTGCACAGGTGGCGCTGTGTTGATCAAAAGTCCGGAGCGCGTGCGTTTGACTGGGGGACGCGCGTGTTTGAGAGAACCGGAACACTCCTATAGGTCAACTTGTTCTTATAGGAAACCTCCGCGGCCGGCTTGCCCGGGAACTGCTTGTACATCCATGGCACTTGAGAGTCCTACCATTGCGCGATGTTGCGCTTTACTCCAACAAGTCCTTGACGAACGCATCCATGTCGAATGCGGTTTCCGCCGAGGCTTCTTCGAGTTTACCTCCAAGAAGGCCAACACTGTGAGGAGTGTAGTCAAGTGTAGACCATTGGAGTGCTTCTGAGATGTCTTTTTCGTGTGTTCATGTGTGGAGGTGGTGCCAGGCTGCCAAATGACCACGCACCTGGACTGAAGATCTAGACAGATGAATGTGGATGAAATGCTCCAAACAGAGCCATGCTGGGGCATGCTGCCACTTTTTGGGACTTGTCTCTTTGGTTTCGTTTCAGATGGAGTTGTCACTGGAGTCGGAGCCATCAGGTATCGGAGTTACTATCACTCATTCTGGCACGATGACCCTACAGACCCTGGGATGCACGAGAGATACAAGCGCCGCCCTGGGCTCAATAACTGTCCGTGCGTGCGCTTGTTAGTAAGCCGAGCTCAAGTGTTCTGGCTGAGCTGAGTGAGGCATCAAGCGCTTCAATGAGATTGATGCAGAGAGCAAGCCCGTGCTCTTTGTGAGAACCATACCAACAACGGAGGAGCTTGAGAACGTTCCAGCGTTTCTTGCTTGGTAATGGCAATGGGCCAAGTGACACTGGGGGGGTTCTCAAGTGCCCGTGTGATGAAGCTACTTTCTTCAAATCCGAAGGTTGATGGATTTGCTGATCAAGCGCCATGGGAAGTACATTGGCTGCAGCAGCAAACCAGAGCAGGGGACTTTTTTTGCTGTCTTGGGGTCTGTCTATCGAAGCTTCAGTCCCAAGTCAACTCAAAAGATCTCATCGTGTTGCATGTCTGACCAAAGTCGCAAAGCATGCAAGAGGTGCATCTTAAGCGACAAGCCTGCGACTGTTTTAGTATTGCACATTAAGTAGCTGTAGTATCCTCATGATGACACACGCATGAGTGTCTTGCCCAAACTCAAGGCAAGCATTCTTGTTGCTCATTATCGACTTCCAGAAAACAGCGCAAGGGGCTGCTGTGGTGGAAGGCAGGATGACTTTTGGGAAAGAGGTTTATAAAGAGCTGAATGCTATTTGCATGGTGATGTGAGGCATCGACAACATTATGGTGCACTTCCTCTCAGGAAGTAAGCACGTGAACCAGGAGAGAGTCTAGAGCCGCCCTCCTGCTCCTCTTTCTCCGTGGATCATGTGCTTGCCATCGCTGTTTTTTCTGCTTCTGAGGAGGGGTTACCTGCTCCGCCATACGGCGATGCAGTGATGCTTGGGCAAGAGTTTGGATCGAGCGAAACTTGAATCTGCTGTGTCAATGTGGATTACTGGATTGACAGGTGCAGGAAGTCTCGCACCAGTCGGCCAAATCCAGTGCATTCTCGCATTTGTGCCCAGGAATTTAGCATTGGACTGGATTGTGGGCCGGTCCGTGTCAGTGATGCAGTTCGAGAATTGGGAGCCTCGGCATTTGTGGTTTCAAGTTTCCCAGCCGTGGCCAGATTGTCACATCACGTGCTTCCCCCCAGCATCATGCGACAAGCGACTTCACAGAGACTGTCTCGTTTCCGTTTCGCGGATCGCTGCATTTTGCCAAGGAAAGCATAATGAGATGCTCGGATCACACTGAGCCTTGGCTTGAGCTGGAACGTGGCGAGGCGATGAGAAGAGTCCAAAAGAGGATGCATCCAAACCTTTTCGAACCTTTTCATCTTTGTGAGATAGAACCAATACTTGAACACCTTGCCTTTTGATGCCTTTTTGGCTTTCCCCTTGAGCCAAAAGCAGCCGAGGAGTGGGGATTGAATGGCCTTGGGGGCCTTTATGCCTTTGAGTTGGGTCTGGAAGCTCCACAAGAAGAGCCTCCAGAGCTTCTCAGCAACCCCAGGAGCCTTCAGAGCCGCTGGGGGTGCGGAGGCTGTCACGTGCTGAGGCTGTCACATCCTCTACCTCAGCTGGATCCGATCCCGTCGGAGAAACTGGAGGACATGTTCCTTCGCAAGGCGACCCGCTTTGCAGTGCGCGTGAGTCAAATTGGCTAAAGCCTCACAAAAAGGACACCGCAATAGATTTGTATGTATATAGAATATACGTATTGCATTTCTGTATCACACAAAGTTGCACCTTGCATTTGACACCGGCTTCACCGCGCTGCTTTAGGTTGCCTAGTTAGGTTACCAACCCTTCGGAACCTTCCACAACCTTTGTGAAAGGGTCTGTTGAGGGGCGAGACGCAGCCTAAGTTCACCATGAACAAAAACAACATCACTTGGAGTGTGACACCTTGTGGAGAGTCTTTTCTGGTTCCTTGTGAAGACCAATTGCAGATGCTTGCAGTCCTGGTGAACTGTCACCATTGTCACCGAGCCTCCCATCCTTCCAGGCTCCAAGGGAGCGGCCGCAACTGCGACAGCTCCAAGTGGTGCCTTTGGGATTCGGTGGCTTTGTGAAGGCAGCGCCGTTTTGCTTCGACGCTTCAGCTCAAACGAGATGTACTGGTTCAGCTGTCTTCTCTTTTTCTCAGTTCCCAAGGGTTTTTATGGGACAGGTATCCGATGTAGCCATCTTCTCACAATTTTATACATATATAATGTATATTTATTTTTCTGAGTGCATGCTTAGCAGAGTTGTCGGATCCTTCCAGTATCTTCCAGTTCTATCTTATATATATATAGTCTGATTGACTCGAGATGGCAATGCCGAAGGTGAGATACCAGCTACAGGTTAAAAAACAGTGAGACCAGCTGGAGCCTGTTGCTTGGTACGGCTTGGTCAACCCTGCAGGCCAGTGTGCTTGCAATGGGAATTCCATCTGTCTCGCTGCCCTTCGATTGGATTATGAGACTTGGAGACGGAATCAGGAGTCCTTCACACAGATATTAATAGACTTGTTACGCAGATAGCTTTCCTCTACTAACTGCCATAGATCCAACGAAATCTAATTATATAAGTCTTAATCTAACTGCTGGATTTCTTGCAGAACTTGGCAACAGATCCGCCTTAAGAGTTTTTCCAATGCCAGCTTGACCTCCTCAGTGATTTTGAGCATCAATGCTCTCTGTTCTCAGGATCAGTCACGCTGGACTTCTACACTTCCTGCGGCAAGGCTTCGAGGCGTTTTGGAATAAGAAGAAACACGCATTATTAACTAAAGAATCCATAGACATACAAGCTATGTTTTGAATATCTTTGTTATTTGTTTTATGTTTTGTTCTCTTTTTACAGTGGCCGCGATGGCCACCTACGGCCCATGGCCCGCGGCCAGGCACCGATTCGAAATGGACTCGGTGCGGGTGGCCAAAGGCCTGCGGAGAAGAGAGGATTCTTCGATTTCGCCACCAGGAGTGTTAGACCCGACAACTCTGCAGAGGATTCTTCTGATTTGGTGTTACATGAAACCACGGTCCAATCGCATACCATGCTTGTTCTTGCTGCCTTTACTGCGAAATGGATAAATGGCCGAATGGTCACTTCGCTGAAGGAGGCCGGTCCAGGGCTCTGAGATAATGATGTCTCGGTCGCACCTGCATTCATTCTGGCATGATGATCCTGCAGATCCGGAGGCGAGGAAAAGCATTGAACATCCAACAGTTCTCAGGGGATCGTTAAAGCAACATATCAATGTGGCATGAATACCAGCTTTCTGTAGGTGCGCCAAGCTTTTGAGACGCGATTTGAGAACTTCGAAAATTTGGCAAAGACTGGCGACACCTTGCTCTTTGTGCGAGTGGTGGCCACGACAGCGGAGCTGGGAAGGGCTTACGAGCTCACCCAGGCCTGACAGTCTGAGCGTCGTGGAACATGCAGTGTGAAAACGCCATGTTCGGGGTTAGCATTGTCGCCAATTCTCATCAAGTAGTATTGAGGCTTTGGAACTGTGAGCATTGATTTGATCCTTTGGAACCTTTGGAATAAGGAATCAAAACATATCAAAGCAGTGTCAGTGCTAATGATATGTCTTCGCCCGGGACGCTTCAGGCCTTGTCCAAGAAGTTTGGTCCACAAGCAGCACTTCTGCCGCTCCAGTGCAAGAGAACCACATCTCCGTTGAACATTTTGCTTGAAGTCACCAACTGTGAGGTTGATTTGCGACTTCCAGAGCAAGGTAGGTCCAGTGATGGTGGACGCCTTCGATGACTTGATGGTCTACTTTCTTGAGGTCCGCTCGTTACCTTAGCTCCACTTCGCTCGAGTTCGCTCGTGAGGTCAACTGGTTGCAAGCTTTTTATGTTGATCGTCTCGTTGGGTCCCTGTGAGGCAGATGCACACAAAGATGTTGCACCCTACAGGAAGCCAATTTTAAGTGCCTTGGAATGGCTTTCAGGAAAGGAGCTCAGGAAGCTCGGAAGCAACAATTCAAGTGAGTGCTGATTTGCTCTCTTAAGCTTTTGTAAACATATGCAGTAACTACATCTGCAGTATATATAGTTTTATATTTATATATTATATATATATATATTGTTGCGCATCAATGACTACTTGCGCCTGCGCTTCAAGGATGGACATTGTTCCAGATTTCAAGGCTGGCTGCCAACTGAGGGTGCAATTGGAAGATTGTGGTCGGTGTTGCCCAATATCAAGAAGCTGATGTTTCGATTTTGTGCATTCTTCAGGGCGTGCTGATTTGCCAACCTCAAACACCTAGCGCCTCTCTCAACTACGCCACAGGCTCTTCAAGCCTTGGCTTCTCCAAACTACTGGGGCCTCATGGGCTACGGTCAACCCAGCGATGTGTTTACTGTAACGGGTGGGCTTTTGAGAGCTGAGTTGGCAGTCAAACGCTCAGCTCTGAGCTGTTTGGGGTGTGTAACATACCTCTATATATGGTAAAAAGAAGGATCAATAGTACATCATAGTAACAGTACATTCTCATGACAGTGATCCACAGACCGACGGACCGACAACTCAGACACAGACCGACTTGTCTCAGACCGAAGCTGTGGATTCCTGCCAGGTGGATTCCTTGCGTTGGAGGGCCTCACTGGCCCACCAGCCGAGATGGTGGAATGGACACCTGCACCTGAGGATCAGTGGCTGATGGATGCCAAGTTTGAGGCTGACAAGGACAGCAAGGGCGACGGACTCGCGCATGGACAGCAAGGGCGGGGCAATGTTTTTGGCACTGCAGGGCGGCAGCTTAAGACAGCCAAGCACTTGTGAGTAAGAGAATAGACATATTAAGGGATCTCATGGTTCTCGGCACCAGAGATGAACAGCTAAGCTTCGGTGCTTTGCGTTTTGGGTGCCATAATGTGAGATGAGCTACGTAGGACGCTATGGCGGTGGTGTCTCTTGGATACCATGAGTTCTTGGGCAAGGTGCTTCGAAGAAACCAATCATTTGGCCAACCTGACGACTTGAGTTTTTGAAGTTTAATTTTTTTCAATCATACACTAAAGATTAATACCGTCCCAAGTAGAAAGAAGGTCAGACGGCCAAGCTGCCGGTGCTTTCATCTTCCTCAGAGGCCTTGGAGTTGGCCAAGCTGCCGGTGGAAACCTCGCCCTTCGACGGAGCCTTCATCAACGGCGAAGGTAGAGATGGACGTTGAGATGACCAGTGAGACCTGTTTTTTGCGTAGTGTTTGTGCACGGTGACTGGACATTGGCTCAAAATTACACCAGCATAGACCCAGATAGCTAGGCAGAATCCCATGACCTGTTGACACGCGACTGGCCGGAACAAGAATGCACGCAGCCTGCAAATAGCCAGCTTGCGGCACCTCTACAGCGCGCGCAATCAGCTGACACCAGCACGCTTTGCCAGCTGACAACACCGGCAGCGGCGCCAGCACTCGACCAGCGCCGCCGCCTGTCTTAAACGCACGCTCAGCCAGCTGACAGCACCAGCACCCAGGACCACAACACCAGCACCAGCACCGACGCCCTTTCGAAAGCACGCGCAGCCAGCTCATTCTTAATTGCAGCAAGAACCCCATAGCTATCCCTATTTAGGGAATAACAACGTATGATCTTGCGCGTATAAGTTTATGCGCACAAAAGTTTGCGCGCAAACAGCAAAGCCCGTAAGTGTCATTGGCCCAAGGCCAAGTAGTATCCAGCGCCACTATTGACTTTGTAGCATGCTTGAAGTAACGATCTGCAGAACGATATGGCCGTATGATCTTGCGCGTAAAAGTTTATGCGCGCAAAAGTATGCGCACAAACGGCAAAGCCCGTAGGCTTCACTCGCCCAATGCCAAGCAGTATCCAGCACGACTATTGTGTGTATAGCACGCTGAAACATGCTGAAACAATGGCCGGTTGAAAACCTGACGTTGCACATAGAACATTATACGTACAAAAATATGCGCACAAACAGCAATCCTTGATACAGCTGTCGGCCAAAACGGAACCTGAAGAGTGTAACCACAGCGCTAATAGAGAAAGAACCCTCGCGATAACACCGTATGATGTTGCGTGCATAAGTTCATGCGGCCCATGACTGCTGGCACTTCATTGTCCGAAGCGGCGCTTGATCGCCCTTCACTGCTGCAAGCGGCAGTTTGTTACCCTTCACTGTCAGAAGCGGCGGTTGTTGTCACTTCACTGTCAGAAGCGGGCACCAGCACCAAGCACCGGCGCGCCAGCTCACGGCGCCCAGCACCAGCACCCAGCACCGGTATACCGGCACCCAGCATCTGGCACCACCACAGCCCGCACCAGCACCCGGCACCGGCACCCAGCACCGGCACTCTGTCTCGAAAGCGCGTGTAGCCAGCTCATTCGTAGCCGTCGCTATCCAGGCACCCAACACCCAGCAACCTGTCTCCACCACATGCACAGCCAGCTCACCAGCACCAGCACCGGCGCCCGCAGCCAGCACCAGCACCGGCACCGCACCCAGCACCGGCACCCGGCACCAGCACTAGCAACCTGTCTCCACCACGTCCACAGCCAGCTGACAGCACCAGCACCGGCACCCGGCACCCAGCAACCTGTCTCCATACCAGCATCAGCACCGGCACCCAGCTGCAGCAACCTGTCTGGAAAGCGCGCACGGGCAACTCATTGTTATTTGAAGTAAGAACCCCATAGCTTCGCTATCTGGGGAAAAATGACCTTTTCAGAGGTTGCAAACATTGCAGCGATCTCACCATTGAAAACGGGTCTTTGATTATTTATTACATTTGTCTAAACACATTCTTTTTTTCCAGTCTCGCAGCGTTATTTAGTGGAAAACACAATGGATTTCAGGCCCAAGTATTGTATGTTGTAAATCATTACCAGTCAAGTCACAGTTACGAAGAGCATGTACAAATTTTAGATAAGCGTAATCAAAGGACGGAACGAAATGAAGCGAACTGGCAAAGTCCCTGAGGGGTGTTGAACTTCCTGCGGAACGATTTCACCGGCTACTTGGATGTCGCCAAGCCCCTGAGGATTGAAGGCAGTCCATACATGGTCCGACGGTCATGTCACTCGGAATGCAAGGATGTTGCCTCTTCCTTTTATTGAGAGCTTGGCCAACTTTCATTTGGATTGCACATGTCAGTGCCCCCGCTTTAGGCTACCACTCCTTCTGGGATATTGACCCCAATGCTCGGCTGCGACAAGCGGAGATGAACATCCGGAAGCTTGGCTGAATGACAACATATGCTGAATGAAATTGACACCGGACTTGACCCAACTGCTAGTAACAAGGGCATTACTGCTAGTAGCAAGAAGCTATTAGTAGCTGATTATATTGTGTCCCATTTAGCCAACCGGAGCGCGCAAAGCCCTGACATTTTTGTTTTGCAGGTCCTTTAGACACCTTCTTGGAAGCAATCGGGTCAAGCTCTTCGTGCGGGCTGTGGTGCACGGGCGGCATTGTCATAGGCAAATCTAAACTAGAGAGCAGATGCTGGCCATAAGCCCAGCCTTTTCGCATCCGTCCATTTTGGAGTATGAATTGACATGAAACAGTTCATGCTTACCTCAATCCACAGGCAAGAGGGGACGAATTGCCCTTGCTGGGCGTTGCTTGGCCAAACTCATTGGTTATTTGAGACGGGCAATAACTAAAAATCACGTAGATGGCACAAAGAACATGCCGCACAGAATGACATAGGTCCGTTTGTTGCACAAGTGACCAACCAATACACCGGAGGCCGACTTATTTTGCGAGTGACGTGCTCTCATGTACTCCCACCCCTGCATGCACACTGAGGAGATACACGAAGCTCTTTGCAAGCACTCGCAATCAGCACTGCTGCTTGCGATTGTTGGCGGTCAGGTCACTTGACCGCGCTCTTTCTTCTCAATCGCACAATTCCAAAACCAAAAGGCAGTACACTGCAACCTAGCCCTCCCCAGACGTCTTTGAATTATTGAAGACTTTGTTTCAACAGTTGGTGCGGCTACAGGAAAAGAAGACCCTGACGGTGGCCAGCAACTACAGTGTCTTGGTCCAGAGCCTTGCTTGCACATGCCATGTGGTTCTCCCAAGTTGAGTGTTTCGTGGCTTTAAGATGATTTGACAGTGCTTGAAAGGGCTTGATGGGTATGGTTTGATGATCTGACAGCTCGGAACCTGGTGTTGGCGAGGTTCATAGAGGAGGACCCGATCCAGACTGGTGTCCTGCAGAGCAACTCTGCAAAGATTTGGATCAACTTTTTCAGTTTCGTTGGCGTGACATCAAGATCCATTGCAGCTTGGTGCCAAGGCTACGCGGAGCCCGTGCGGAGCAGTCTTGACTGGGCCGTGGGGAAGGAGCTGAAGGCCTCCAAATGGACGCCGTGCAGCTCCAACACTGCTGTTGATGAAGCTATTAAAGCCGAGGGTTGGTTTCGAGGGTTGGTTTTGAGATGTGGGTATGGCTCACCCAGAGGTGTTGGTCTATGTTTTTGTATGTTTTTGTTTTTTTTTGCTTTGCAAGGGGGGTATGGGATGGCACCGGATTTTGGAGCGTGCAACGCCGGACGTGGCAGGTGGGCGTGGTGCCGGACTTCGCTGCGCTGAAGGGCCTCTTGAGACCGCTGCCTCCCACTCCTCTCGTTGGCCCGGGGAACGTGCCACTCTTCGAGGAGTAGTAAGTAGTTTTGAGTGAGACAGAAAAAGCCCAGAAAGTAGGGACAGCTATACATCTTGAATTCATTGGTTGTCCAGTCCGCGTGTGACCTGCATCAGCTTCTTCCGGTAGATTTCTTGGATGGAGGAGAATCTGTCTACAACGGACGAATCGGGAGAAGGGTCTTTGTCGAGCTCGTCTTCACCGGGAGTTCATTTGGTCGCTTCGAATTTGAAGGCCGGAGAGTACAGAGGTTGAGATGCGGAGAGGACAGAGGTATAGGAGGCCACTGCTATATACTGCTATTAGGTTGGAGGATGTTGAAGGCCATTGCTTGTAGGTTGGAGGCCATTGCCTGTAGGTTGAGACGCGTTCAGCAGGTGAAAGTGCCTTCTCCCAGCAGGGGATATGCTGGGTTCAGATGAGCGAAACTAGTTTGCACCGTGGCTAGAGCCACGATCTGCTTCCTGCGTGATGGCTCTGTGGCACCATTTCAACACCCTAAACATTGATTCCATGAGGCTTTGCCAATGTTTGTATTAAATGCACGTCGAATTGGACCAACTCTGGTAAGTGCCACAGAATCAGAGAGCTTCCAAAAGAGTCGACTCGTGGCTTCGGCAAGCACAGGCAGAGCATAGGCAGACAGGTGTGCCTTTTTCGCTGTGACATGAGAGACTCTGGAAGTGGCCTCACACACGGACATCCTCATAGCCAGTTCCACTGAGTGATGCCCAGAAATCATTCTCCGCACCCGCGTCCCATGAACTCGGGCCTTGTCGCATGAGACGTGGTGTCTTGTAGGTCTTAGGACATCAAGGGCCTTGACTTGTGGAAAAAGATCAGTCCGGTCTGAGTCTGTCGGAATGAAGCTGATGAAAGTGACTTGCGGAATGCAACTTCAACGAGTCCAGGACTTGGATCTTTTCGGGCTTAAAGGATTGGCACCCAATTAGCATGCCAATCCGATCGGTGGCTCAAGCTAGCATACTGATCTCCGGTCTTGCGATGTGGATGCCGGGTAGCTTTGCAAGCACCTGCAATGGTCATTTCAAAGACAACTGCAAAGCAGGCACCCATAGCTCTTGATACATTAGAAGTTGGAAGTTGATGATGCAGTCTCGCCTAGATCAGATGAAATTGTTCGCGTGTCCATTTTGTGTGTGGTGGCATCAGATCACAGAGTTTGTCTCTTCAGACACACTGGACACTTGCATTAAATGATGGCAGACGCTGACTCGTCTTCTGCATTCCTTCACCTGTACGTAGTACGAATACATGGCATATTCGGCTGAGTTCAAGAGGTTTGACTGTTGACCATTTGAATTCGCATCTGATGCAAGGATGCCAAGGGCAAAGCGAAGGCCAAAGTTGCTGCCAAGGTAAAATCTCGCAAATCAGGAGCCAAGTTCCGTTCAATAACACCTGACAGTGTCGGGAGGCCTGTAATTATAGTTGTGGCCATTAAGCAAACAGAAAACCAATAATAAGAAGCGCCCAAGCCCAATTTCCCGTACCATAGGTCTCCCATCATGATATGGCTTCGATTCAAACTCACTCAGAAGCTGATTATTTGGTACACAACATGTTCCAAACTACTTCCACCACCACGACCACCAGCACCAGCACCAGCACCACTACCACCACCACCACCACCACCAGCACCACCACCACCACCACCATCATTAATAGCAGATTCTCATAGATTCTCCTCGTTTTCTGCCCCTAGACTGGTGAAACAGACGATGCCGCAGAAGCACTCTAGGAGGAGCTTGAAGGAACATACCCACATTGACATATTCTATTTCAAAAGAAATGCCAAGGATAAAAGAGGTGACACGTATGTGAAACACTTGAACTGTATGTTTGCTAAGCAATCCGAGCCGTTCTTTTTTTTGGTATGAAAGGAACATTTCCAAAAGCTTGAAAACAGATGCTTAAGCTCGGTAACCCCCTCCACTGTCCTCTTCCAGATGAAAAAACCAGACAGACCTCAACCCACACCTTTTCAAAGCTTTCCTGTTGTAGCCAACAATGGCATGGCTCCCAATTCTGTGAAACCAAGCGATCTTGCAGTTTTCTCAGTTCTCTTTTTGAGCAAGGAGATGCGCCAGGGGGAGGGACCGTCATGAAGAAACCCGCAAGGCACTTAGACCGATGGTGTCACGAATCAGGAAGTGGAGCAGCCGTTTCTTTTGACTTGTGCTTCTGCTTTTTCGACTTTTTTCTTCAGGCCTTGCAAGCGCCGCGGATGCGCCATCGCCGAAAAGAACCTGATCCTGCCTTCGATGCTCCAGAAAGCAGTCCGAAAGAAGGGGACAGGCGTCGTAGTGCAGAAATCTCAACCTTGCTAAAGCTAGTGTTGCTTTTGAAAGGCCCTCAGAGAAACGTGGCAGAGGTGCCCCAGGTGCCCATGTTGGCATTTCGCAAGAAACACATCGGCGTGACGCGAGACATCGCACAATGCCAGTGGAGTCAGGCACCGCAGCAAGAAAAGCCAGGCACTTCATGCCACCAAGCCAGTGGAGTTTGTGACAGAGTCTTACATTCTTTGTTTCTTGATGCTTCGTTGCCTTTTTGATCCTTTTTGTGTGTTTCTTTGTGTTCGAGAGAATTTACTCAGCGGATGAAACCCATATGAAACCTGTTTCAATGGTTCAGTTTTGTTCTGGGCTTCTCTCCCACGCGATGTGAAGGTATATATCTTAAGCATTCTTAAGCAACACACACACACATTAGACATCACACGTTCTTTCACATGTTCCAACCAATCTCGTGAACCATTTCGACTCTAATCGGGGAGACTGGAGGCGCAAGAAAGATTCGCCTGAAAAGCCGGATGCGCCTGAGGAAGCGCCTGGAAGTGGCCCCCTGCTACAAGCCATTTCTCTTTTTTTGGACGTACTCAACGATGCCAAACAAACGCCTTTGTGTTTTTGGCAGTTTGGCAAGGGGAGACCCTTAGTCTTTCCGACGAAAGGGACTTGAAGCCGCTTCAAGGCCCGATTTGCCAAGGTGGCGAGAAAGAACAAGACGACTCTGACTTTAACTCCTCTGAATCTGGGCCGGAAAGGGAACCAGTGCAGCCCAAACGAACCAGTGCGTCTGGGTAGGCATTTGTAGTCCAGATGTGGGATGCACGATATGCTCAGGACCTGGATCCCGTGCTGTGGGCGGTGGGTGGTCAAGAGTTGGAGGAATCAGGCGACAGAGTCGGTACCAGTTCGCCGTCATGTTGGCGGTTGGTTCTCGATGAAGCAGCAGCTACTTGTACCAAGCTGGGGATAACACCAAATGGCATCAGCAGCTGTGAAGAGGCAAGATGGCTGAGCGCATGAACCTGCGTCGGGAGAACAAAAAAAAGAGGCTGAGGCTGGAGAGCGTCTGATTGTTGGCGCTCAAGTTTTCATCCACAAATGCAGAAGTTGTGCCTTGTGAGGAAACAACAAGGTCCAAAGAACGCTGTGCAAAGAGCACGGGAGAATTGCCAGGCATGAGTTTGCAAATGAATATGTGCAGAAGACGACCTTGTTCTGTTCGCACAATAGGAAAAGAACACACAGGTGTTGTCGTGCAGTGGATAATGTTAGTGATACTTGAGACCGATTTGGTTATATAATCCAAGAAAGTTCGCACTGGCATATGTTAGGCCACTCCCGAAGCACGTGCTTTGCTTGCTCGGGGTCAAGCCCAATACGCCGCTGGCGAGTTTGCTGATGCGATTGAAACAATGAAGGCTGCAGTCAGACACTCTGGCAAAGTTTAGTCAAGTCAATATTGTTGGTGCTTGCTACGTCTGGGAGAGAGAGAGAGAGGGGGAGCACAAGTATTTGTGATATTGAATTATATACGTGGTGCTAAGATGTTGCGAATGGCTTACGAGCCTCAAGGAGAGCAGCCTGGACTTGCAGACCCCTACCATGTTCTCCACTTGATATACAACGAGCTTGGTGACGGCAAGAAGGCACGATGTTGCCATCAGCAGGGCAAGGAAAAAGGAAGACCAATTCAGTGCAGAGAAACAGGACAATTGCAGATGCAGTCTTGTTCATTGTTGGTTCTGTTATCAAATGTTAAATGTTGTCAACGATTGACTTGTGCTTCTGTTTCTTCCGATCATCAAGTAACCGAAGACAACATTTGCTCATCCGAGGCCCTCGATGCTCTTCTTTTATCTGCATACTTTACTTCTCCACCCTCGGAGGCCCGGCACTGTAAATCTGTGCTTCACCCGAGGGTGCAACAGTGTTTGCTGAGGTCAAGTTCCAGGGGAGTAAGGGACACCCATGGAAACTGTATGCTATGTCAATGTAATGTATGTCACTTTCACTGGTGGGCAAATTGGCAGGCTCGTTGATGTATATGAGTCCATACATACAGAACATGCACATGTTCGTGTGAACAGCAAAATGATAGAACGGGTGCTTTGCCGTGCCCCACCAACATTTGAGAGCATTCTGGCACGCAAATGTCTACAGACATTTGGGGCGCATGGCAAAGCTAACCAGGCTCACCACGTGTGGCGAAAGGTGGCGGACTTGTCCCTGCGTGTTGGACAAACAGATCAGGCTTGACTTTTGCTTCTCGAATGTGAAACATGAATTTGCGGACTTTGAATCAATCGACTTCCTGACTTGAAGAGAAACCCGGTGATGGCCGTTTTGTATGATCTCCTATGGTAGTCTTCCCTGCAGTGAATTCTGAGTGAAACTTGTCTAAAGCCTGAACCCTGGACCTTCGCAGGCATGCTACGCCTTCAAACGTTGCATTGCACCCCAAGGCCAAGTGCCGATTGATTTAGCTCACCCATATGGACTGAAGGAATTTAGATTTACAGCATGCAAATTATGTCAAATTGTAGTCTTTAATATCGCATGACATGAGAGGCTCTCGCACAGAGGATGACTGGAAGTCGCTGTGGCAGCTGTCCCAACTTCTTTTCAAAAAGGACAGCGGGAATTCGTGGAAGCTCCGATAAAACGACCGGAATTGGCAGAATCTCGAAAGGGAGGCACATCAGTTCTGGATCATTGCACACTTTGCAGAGCCTGATGAAACTCGGTGTGAGGAGCGGACGGACCGGGGCATCCAAGTCTTGTTCGAGCTCTATGAGGAAACACAAGAGCCAAAGCTGGCCTGCGAAGTGGCCAAAAAGCTCGTTCAAAGGCGATTCACCAAATCACCTGACCACTGACAATACTGACATATCCTGACCCCCGCTTTAGGTTGGAGGCCATCGCTATTGGGTTGGAGGCCATCGCTAGTAATGTTGGGTCTTAAGTAGTAAAACCCGTCCCCCCTCCTGGCAAACAATCAAGGGTATGAACAGAATCCCCGCCGCAAAAACCATTAGTAGTATTCGTAGCAGCAGCAGCAGGAGGAGGAGGAGTAGGAGGAGTAGTAGTAGTAGTATTATTAGTAGTAGTCGTAGTAGTCGTAGTCGTAGTCGTAGTCGTAGTCGTCGTAGTAGTCGTCGTCGTAGTAGTAGTAATTAGTAGTAGTAATTAGTAGTCGTAGTCGTAGTGGTCGTAGTCGTAGTCGTAGTCGTGGTGGTAGTAGTAGTAGTAGTAGGAGTAGGAGTAGGAGTACTAGCAGTGGTAGTATTTGTAGTAGTAGAATAGTCAAGTAAGGACTTGAAAGGCAGCAATAGCAGAACAATAATAGAGTTAGTGTTTTTCCCTTAGGGCTCCAAGTTTGCTTATTAATCCCTCCCCTAAACAGTTGATATTATTCACTTCCCCTGGGCTGGTGTACTACCCCCTTGAAAAATTGTTTGGAGCGTTTTTGAAACTGATTTCCAGGTCAGAATTCCATGAAACAAGCAAACCTCAGAAGAGTTAAGTAAGGATTTGAAAGGGCAGCAATAGCAGAACAATAGGCAAGGAAACAAAACCACCCAAAAATACACTGGGTGAACAAGACTTTTTGTTATTCCCTCCCACCTGACTAATTAGGATCCGACATTAGGGTGGAGGCCATCGCTATTAGGTTGGAGGCCTTCGCTATTAAGTTGGCGGCCATTGCTATCACTGGCAGCCTAGACATTTCTCAACCCACTTCGGCCTGAGAGGGTGAGACAGGCTGTCGGATTAGAGAGAAGACGTCTATCTACTACCTAGTAGCGACATCAAGGGATTTGTGCTGCATGCATTTCGCTGGCCGCAGGCATCGGTGGAAGGAATGCTTAGCTTTGCTGGAGGCCTGCGTGGCCAGAGGTCGTCAGGCTGGAGCTTCTCTATTGGTTGCCCCAAATACAATTACTCACGTTTGGCTTGTCCAAGTGACTTCTAAGCTTCCATGGCCGAGAAGCCTTGGGCTCGAAGTTAGCTTGCATGGGACACAGTACGAGATCTCGTCCATGCCTTCCTGTCCAATCCTTTTTGGAGGGGCCCCAAATCCGTGTGGCTTTGGCCCAGAATCGTGGCACAACAGATGCATCATCTCGGACTGGATGATCGTTTCGTCAACATTCAGCACAGTAGGATTACGATGGATTACGCACTTAGCTTGTTTGAGGTTTATACTTCATGACAGGTCTCCTTCACTCGCCCCGTTTTACATCACTGGCTGGTTGCCATGGAAGCTCCAACTCAGCGGATTGAGGAGATTCTCCACTGGAAGCCCATCCAAGGGCTTCTCGGCGAGCTGTGATGAGCCGTGATGAGGTGTTGGGCTGTGATGAGCCGTTTTCGTGAGAGCTGAAGTGCTGGGTTTTGCACTCACTGGACTCTAGAGACTGTTGATTTCGAAGGACATGAACGAACCAAAGACACCATTTAAAGTATACAGTAGAATATAGTAGAATCCTCTTGGGGTTTTGTGGTCATATCTTCACTGTTTTGAACAAATGGGTGAAGGCGTGTTAGTACTGCCTCTTGGGTGACCCGGCATTCTATAGTAGTCTACAAGACGTCACAACCTGGTGACCATTATCTAGCAAGTGAAGACAAAGAAGCTGATGAAAGCTGATGGAAACTAAGGATCTATTATCCTCGCTTCTTCAAGGAATCAGCAATCCGGCGCCTGCAAAACTCATGGGAATGTAGAGAAGGCCAGCTTCTACACTGGCCTTGCTTGTGCACGCCCTCATTCCTTGGGGGTGGCCGCACATGCTTGGGGCTGTGGCTTTGAGCCAAGCATAAGCACTTGCCAGGCGATGTTTTCCTCGTCTCCAACTTCCCTGTTCGAGGTGCAGAAGCTGAGTTTCTGCTTGAAGCAACTTATATATATGTATATTTATATGTGGTCCTAGCCCTTGCTTTCATGTTCTTGAGCGTTCTGTCTCACAATTGACAATTCCAGGCTTGCAGCGCGTTTTGACCTGCATGGTTGAAGGCGCAAGTGGGTGCGTCCAACTAAGACATTAAATCTTGATCAGTTGAATTGGAGTTTGGAGGTCGCAACAATCCATGGGAGGATGGGCTGCTGGACAAGCCCTACTACTGCGAACTCTGGCCTGATGCCGTGAGTGTCAAAGCACCATGTGCACGTTATGCATTTGCTTGCCAAAACGTATCAAAACGCATAGGGAATGTGTTCCAATCCAGTGCAATTGGCAATGGCAGCATACACGCATTGCCACATGAACCGGTAGTGGCTCCAGGCCTGAGCGAAAAGATGGCCACGGACGCACTTTGGTGACCTTAAGTGGTGTGCAACTTTATACTCTAGTGACTCTAGTGTTACGTCTGGCTTTCATTCCGCGCTGCTTTGATTTCGGAGCACTGATCATCAAGTGGGGGTCACAAGAAAGCATCCAGAACCGCTTCATGCCATGTGCATTGCCATGCATTGCCCACCGATCTCTGCGGCGTTCAGAATGCGGGCTTTGGATAAGCCTTTGGCTCTTGCGTTGACTCTGGGGAGTTGTAGGTCGTGTTCCAAAGCGTAGGACCGGACATGTTTCTTGAGCTTGATTTGATTTTATGTATCGTGAGCAAGGTGAAGGCGCGTTTCTTCGTTGGATTTCCTCGTTTTTTGTTTGCCTTGGTCTCCTGCGTGGTTTGCTTTTCTACGAGTGCCACGGAGTAGGGCATCCTTGAGGCCAACGCCGGCTGCCTCAATAGCAGCAGGTATGACAGCAAGACACAGGGGCCAAGTTGGAGGGTGAGCATGTCACGGCAGCCCTGTCTCACAGCCATGCTTCTCAGGATGCAGCGGCCTCGAGACGTGGAGTGGACGCGTATTTGTCGGAAGCTGAAAGCTGGAAAGGCCGGCGCTGCTTCAAGACACATGCACCTCCGCACCTGTCCCGTGGCGGAGTCAAAAGGGGGAGCCAACATTCGAGCGTGGAGTAGAGAGGTCTAAAGACATGTAGAGTCAGACCAAGTATATGGTTAATATGAAACTTCGTTTGCGTTGACCTTGCTGGTCTACTTAGGTTTCCATGTCGCTATCCTTTTCCGGAAACCAGTGGGGATGGCACCTGGGCAGTATTGGAGGAGGTTTTTGAGTTGGTGTTTCTGCAGGTGTAGGCCAATGTCACGGCCTGGATGCTTTTGGTGTGTTGTTGTTGTTGTTGTTGGCCAAGTTGTTCAGGGTCTTGAGTGAGCCATTTGAATGTACACACGCACTTTCAAAACTTAATGCGTCAGATCTGCAACGTTTTCCTTGTCTCGCAGGCATCCCACCCAAAATCTTGGTCTTGGTTGCTGATCCGCGCTTAGTGTTTACCGTTTGGTGGCAAACACTTGGACAGTGTCTTGGATGCATCCAGCCCTGGTATCCTGGGAAGTCTGTAGCAGCAGGGTTTATCCAAACGGTCAACCAGTTCAACAGTTCTTGGATTTGTGCACAACATCCACATAGTTTCCGCAGAACCTCTGCATAACTTGTGCAGAAAATGCACTCGAACTCTAAGGATAGAACCGGAGGTTTCCCTTGATTTTGATCTTGGTGGGTTTCTCAGCCTAGTCGCAGATCAGGCCAGCCCACGTTGATTCCTTCAGAACTTTTTGTGAGCTAATTCCCAAACTCCATCCTATTTGATATCCAGGGCTGGAAGCTCTTCGGCAGCTACTTTGATCATGCAGTTGCGTGGGCGAAGGAGGCTGAGGAGCACCCAGAATCGGTGGCTTGAAGGCAAATATGATATAGCGTGTAGCAGTGTAGCACATGGTTGTCCTGACACTTCATCAGCTTCTTGTGCCCCGTGTCGGAAGCTCATTCAAAGCCCATGATACACTGCTTATATACATGAACCTAGAATGCTGTCAGAACAGCGCAGCCTGTGGCTTTAAGCCCTAGCAAAGGTCCGCTTGTGTGTGGTGGACAATCTAGGCGGGTACTTTGTTACACAGAGGGCGAGATGCTTCTGTGCGTCTGTTTCTTTGTGCATCGTGCCTTTTCAGTTGCCAAACGTAGAGACCCGCAATTGGCTCCCTTTGTCAGAGGCTCCCTCCTTCCAAAGGACGTGCAACATGAACTGCTCCTTGGACCACTTGGAGAGACAAACGCTTTTGCCTGCAATGCAGTTGCAAAATCAAACAAAAAAGCCAAGTCCTCTTTCGCCAGACAGCCATTGCCAGTAAAAACTGCTGGTTCATGAATTGGTTCCCTCTGTCGCTTAGCAAGCTTGCTGAGTTTCTACTCGGAGAGCGGAGCGTCCCGAGTGGTACGATCTGAGGTCCGAGATCGCAGAGTTCCTTTGCATCTCACAAGACGCTGTGGACACCTAGATGAAGCTGTCGATCGTCGTTTCGCCCGATACGGGAGAGAAAGTGAACTTGCACAAGAAACCTTTTGGGAGAGAGGGCAGGGCACAGATGCTTTAGTGATAGTGCCAGCTCAGCATGTCAGATAGGTCCCTGGGTAGCGCTTTGAATTGAAGACAGATGCATTGACACAATGACAGTCTTTGTCGTGCAGTTGTGCAGTTCGAAGACATGCTTCAGGACCATTTGGTGGAGGCGATCTTCCACAGACCTCCAGATGCTTGCAAGTCCTTGTCGAAGGACCAACCAAGGCTGTTGGAACTACTGGGTGGGATTGTGAAACTTCCAGTCATCGCATATCATCCCTGTAGAAAGGCTATACAAGCTGCAGAACACATATATCGATTATCTATTTGTTAGAAGTTAGAAGTGTCATCTCTCAAGCGTGGATGCCAGGACCAATTGGTGGACAATGCAGCACTGCAGGGTGGTCACATCGTTGAGAACACAGGCCAAAACCTTTACTCGCCCCGAGTCAGCATCACTTTCGCGATGTTTCTTCGATGTGGAAGCAACATGAAAGAACGTGCATCGGAGCAATCGAACCGATCAGTCATTTGAGTGAGACCAATTCACGTGACATACAGGGGTACTTGTGTCAAAGAAACTGTGTGCTGTGTGCATGTCACAATGTAGACACTACTTGCTCATGCTGATCATGCCCAACTTGAGGTTTCAGTCAGCGCTCGACTCCACAAATGGCCTCATACAAGAGATTTGGCGTGGGATGTCCCTCCGTGCACGGTTTTGATTGCTGTTTAACTCCCAAGCGACTCACATGATGCATTTTCACAAGATAATTAGGCACTGTTTGGAAAGCTCAGGTTCAAGCTCCTTCTCACGACCGAGAATTCCTGCCTGATAGAGATAGCTCATAAGGCACTGGACGCCAAGCATTTCCCACACCCTCAAGGCTGTAACATCCATGCGTAAACGCTTGAATGAAGTCCACTTACTTGTCTTTAGCTGGATTCATCGTAATTAGTGTTGGCATGATAGGTCCCGAGGCCATGGGTCATTGCCTCACCAGGCGCTGGGCGGCACAGCATCCTTGCCCCCCTTAGTCCAAAGCTAAGCCCGTTCGCCGTGCAACGAAGCGCTGTTCGCCGTCGCCGCGCTTCGTTGCCCGAATCTGCTCATTGAAACATCCATCCAGCAATGACAAGGCAGTGCCAGTGCCCACGTTGCTCTCAAAGCGATCCCCAGCGTTTGTTTAGCGACCATTCCAATCCACTCGAACGTATGAGAAACTGGGGCCCTCTTGAGATCTCCCGAGCCATTGTCAACTTGGTAGGTTTGTCATCCAACCTTCTTGGGTTCGCTAGGTCAAAACTGGTGCATTTCGTGGCGCAGCTGCGCATGATGCCGGCCTTTGCCGGCCTTGTGTTTTTAATCTTCGTGACTTGGCCTGAGCCAATGGAACGCAGTCTGGCCCCTTTTGCTCCGACCCTGTATATTTATCTTCTTTTCCTCCGAGTCACGGCTTCTAGAATCTTCTAAAAATCGCCGCTTCGAGCCATGTCACGCTGCTTTGTTCAGCTGATATTCTGATGGCCTGATGATGCCCTGATGGCCTCGCAAACTTGTTGGGTGCTCAGGTGGGATTTGCCGGGACTCCGCAGAAACCTGCCTCTATTGCCATGCCGACGGACACGAAAGGACGCCGCTGGCGCGGAAGTGAAAATCCGGAACATGCATGTGGCTGGTGAAGTTTTGGCATTGGATATGTTTAAATGATTAATTAAAAAACGCATCTATCCATTCTCACAGGACAAAGCGCGCCAGCCACAAGGTTCGGAAACAACGGCAACTCCAACGCCGAGCCTTGGGTCCAATGATCACTAGCCTTGGTCCGATTCGTCGGTTTCGGTCACGGTTTCCTGAAGAAATGGCATTGTCGATGGCATGAAATGAAAGCTACTAGGAGCAAGGGCATCGCTACTAGGAGCAAGGACGCTACTACGTAGGGGCTTGTGGCCCTACTACCAGTAGCAAGAAGCTACTAGGAGCAAGGGCGACATTGTCAAGGACGACTTCTCCAGTGTTTCAAGATGGTTTATTTGACAATCAGGACGCGTGGTTTGGCAAAGGGGACGTTTCCAACGCAGCGGGATTTCGAGGTATGCGAACTCCATCGCCTGACCGGTTCTGACTGAGCGCTGAGGGCCTTGGTCGTTTTCTCCGCCAAGCGGAGCGTCCAACGGTTGGTTTCGATCGAGTTGCGGCGATCCTTGAATGGATGAGGCTTGCGGTTTACTGATGTTTTGTCCGCGACCAAACAAGAGTCGTTCCCAGTCATTTCTAACCTATTTCTAGCTGTCATTGAGTCTCGGCCCGTTCGCAGTAGTTGCCATAGACGTGTTGTAGATTAACTAAGGATAACTAAGGCTATGCTATACTATACTAGACTATACTATACTGCTAAAGATTGTTTGTTTAGATGCCCTGCAGCTTGATGCTTCCTATCCTGTACAAAGATGATGCAGCTGATGCAGCTGAATGCGGGTTCTTTCATACCCCGTTCATTGATCAGCTTAGGCCCATAGTTTTTGGCACAGCTCTTGTGTCCCATGGGAACCATGGTCATAAGAGCTGTGCGTTTACGGTATAACACCTAGGACAGAAGCCCTGCGTGTGGAAAGAAGAGAAGAAGAGGATTGTGCTTTGGCGTTCTCACACTCAACACTGTCACAAGAGCTTCCCTGAGTGTCATATGTCAAAAAGCTGCACCCCGTTCAACACCCATGACCCGTGCAGGCTGACCCACCTCGCATAGATCTCAACATCTTAAACATCCTGGCAGAGGCGACCACGCGGTTCCACAATTGTGCAGCGGAGCTTGTTGTTCCGGTTTTATACTTGTCTCGTCCGTGTTCTTTGTTTTTGCATGTGGTGTGGGTGGCAGTGCCGCCTGTAAAGATCTATAAAGGCCTTTCTTTGCTTAGACTCAGACAAGCTTAGACTACTTCTCAAAGGCTCAGTTTTGATCGGAGTAGACGTGACCTAATCTTAGTTGTTTCAAGTGTTTTCTATTTTTTCAAGAGCTTTATCCTTGCTACTGTTGTAAGTTAATGCTTTGATGGCGACAGTTGTGCTGGACCTACTTCACAAACAGGTTCTGATGGAGCTGCGGGACTTTGAAAAGCCGGGCACGCAGGGTTTCTCCTGCAGGAAACACGGAAACACGCGTTCTTTCCGTCGCCGAATGACGTGACGGTCAACGTTGAGTCTGTGAAATAGATACAGAAGAGATCAGAAGGGTCAGAAGCTTGTTTGAGACTAGTAACAAGTGCATCGCTGCTAGTAACAAGTGCCTTACTACTAGTAACAAGAAGCGAACGTAGAAACAAGAAGCTACTATAAGCTACTAGTAACTGCTGTGTTTTTGAGAGATCCTCGTTTGTGAGATGAGATGCAAGGTGCGCGACGCTTTTGAAGGAGCTGCTGCACCTGACTCCGCAGGGAGGTGCACAAGGTGTCTTCCAGAATACGGAGTTCAATCAATGAAGCTACTACTAGCACAGAATACGATGTTTCATTGTTTCATTTGTTAGTTTTCAATGGAACCCATTTTGCATTTGTCAGGGACATCCGATGATGTTGAAAGCACTGCTCTCGCGCTGATTCCAGAACACGACACAGAGGCACCTGCTACTCGTACTGTAGGCACAAGTTAGCAGATGCCATGTGTGAAATTGCGGGGCGGGGGCAACCTTTAATTGGTGTTCAGTTCTCAGATGTGTTTGGCCTCCAGGAGCAAGGACGCTATTAGTAGCCCCTAAAGCTACTAGAAACAAAGGGCGCCGCTACTAATTAGGAGCAAGGACCCTACATGACCGAAGAGCGCCGCCTTGGAGGCCTTGATGAAGAGGTTGCACAACAGCCCTGTCGATCTTGTTGCCAAGTTGGGAGCCGCTTTGTGTCAAATCCCGTGCCGCACACAGACCTGGCAAGCCAAAAAGACTGGCAAGGCAAGACCTTGTTTCCTTGAGTTTGGCGATCCTTGCCCAGGACAGCAACGGAGGGCGACGATCCATGCTGCAAATGTGCGATTGAGGCAAAACCTAGCCACAAAGGTAAGCAATGCATTCTTATTCGCGCCAGGTGGTATTGTCACACTCAGCCGAGTCGCACCATGATTTGTACCTGGTTTTGGTTGATGTCGCTTGGCAAATCAATGCGAGTCATTCTCTTGTCCTCCGCAACATGTTACACATACTCATGTTACAGGATGGCGGTAACACGCCTAGCAATACAATGAAACAAACAATGTATATATATATATAGACATATGATGACATATGTTCCTTTTCGGCCACATACAAGCAACAAGGCAATGCTTGCAGATGCCAGTACTACTGCTGACACGGTGAGCCAGCGGTGGCGGCAGCGTGCACATGTCGCAGACCCAGCAAGCCTTTGCTGTAACTTTAAGAGGACAATGACGAAAATCCCAATTGGTGTGTCCTTCCTGTGACATGGATAGCCCCCCAATATTGAACACTTCAATTTTCAGACTTATTGCAAACAACGGGACAACATCTGCAAACGACTCACATTGACAGGAAGAGCATCCTCAACACTGTCTTCATTCCCTTTTCCCTGAATCAAGGTCCGGCCTTGGTTTGCTGAACAAGCTAGCCGCCTTCTGGACCAGTGGGAAGCTGAGTCACAGACGCACTTGCCAGTTAGTTTCATAGATGCATCAATATCAAAACATCACGTTTATGAAGGAACTACTGGACAAGTCATGCTGTTTGAAGGGGAGTTGGAAGGTTTCGATATTCAATAGGTTTCGTATCGAGGCTTGAATCCTGTTCTGGCATTGAAGAAGACCTGCGTGAGCGAAAGGCCATGTGCAACTGGCGGCTGGGCAAGGCAGGACAGCACAACAGTCCAAGCAGCGGCCCACGTGTTCAGCCCCGTGTCCATTCATCTCCCTGTCTCATCCTTTTCCTCTGATATGATCCGTACGCGAATGCGAAACAGAAGCCGACCTAACTCCTCACTTTTGAAGGTGGAAGAGGCGGCGATTCAATTGGAAGAGCTACTGGAGGAGAGAATTCTAACTCTTTGGTTTGTGAAAAGAGATGCCAAGTTCCGAACTGGCCGTGAACACATGTGATGAAAGCAGGCGTATCACGTACAGTACCAAGTATTCTAGTATAATCAATTCTGAAAGTTAGATTATGTAGGGGATCATCAGAAACTGCTGGATGTGTGACACGAATCCCGACCGTGCGCTGTCTGGAAGTATACATGTCTGGCCAGTTCAGAGCCGGGGAATGCACGGTTCATGCGCCAGGATCCTGGAGATCGCACCGAAGTTGACCTGAGAAATCTCAGGCACAGATCTGGAAACTGGTTGAAGTGGGACGTGTTTATATTAACGACAAGTCCTTGGCACCAATCGATTGCGAATCAGCATTGCACAATACTGCACGAGTCCATATTGGTCTATATGTGCTTAAGTCATCTTAAGTCTACGTGATACATCTGTCGTCACCGGTCCTCGTTCACATGATAGATTGAGTGACGGGTCCTCGTTCGCGTTTGCGCTGCTGGACGTGCTCAGGGTGCGTGCAGCCGAAGCTTGGATCGTACCCCTGCCGATGCTTCCCCTGCCGATGCAGCTGATCGTCGCACAGCTGTTTCATCATGTTTCATCTACCATGCCCAAACTAGGGAGGTTGAGAGTAGAAAACAGCGATGAGCTCACTTACTTTTGAGAAAAAAAGAGAAGCCTGGAGTCCCAGGTGACGTCCTCACGTATCCTCAAAGCCTTTTTGGGGGGACCTCTTCGCCGGTGCCAGGAACTGGGCTGCGCCGAACGAGCGGACCAAGTTTTGAGCACCCTAACTTACGAGGCACAACCCCTTTGCTACGTTCGTAGCTTCTTGTTACTAGTAGCGATGGCCTCCACCCAATAGCGTCCTTGCTACACTCTTGCTTCAATTTATTACAATTTGTTACCTTTCCTATGGACTCTCCATCCCGCAAAACATGAAATTGCTTGTACCTTTGCAAGACTTCTCCAGGATAAGTGCGTTTCATCCGTCCTGAGTCATGCACGATCTTTTGAGACAGCCACTATTTGTACAGGAACTGCAACGTAGCCATGTTCTTCCACCAGCCATGAGTGCCGCTGAGAGAAAGAATATCTACAAGGAGCTTGTCCACCTGCTTGTCTTCGGTACATTTTTGCATCAATCAGGTTCAACAGGAATGATTGAGCATTGTTCTGAATGTACTCGAAAGTATGACCCAGCCTAGTTTTCATTGTGAAGTGAAACTTCTCTTTCTGTTGTCATCGTCGTTCCTTCAAGCCAAGAGCATTACATCTGGCGATAATTGCATTGAAGCGATGTGAGACGTCGTCAAGGAGTTAACCCAGATCATTGATGCAACAATGAACAGGGCAATGGCCGCCAACGACAAGGCTTGGATCCTCAACAAAGGGTTTTATGGTATTCCTGTGTTGGATCAAAAGTGATTGGAAGACCTGACAGGAACACGTTCATCACTATGTTGGCAGTTTGGAGGACCTGGGTGGGACGAGTTCACCGATCTGCACCGACTGCAGCGACACTCAGGAGCTGAAAGCGTTCATTGGCAAGTTCCGTCATTTGGTGTTCGAACCTCAGAGCCTCAAGCATCTTGGCATCTGGGGATCGTCGTGCTTCAAATACATTTACTTTATTATATATATATATATGTTTTAAAAGACAATGGCCTTCAAGGGCAAACGACAACTTAAACATTTGCACCTTCAACTCCAAGGTGTCAACGTGCATACCTGTCCATTCGAGGAAACCAACAATTTCCAAATTCACCCAGACAAGTAGCCGAAAGAACCACCAAGTACATTTTTTTCTTTTCGAGGTATGACTGTGAGCTGGACTACAAACGACTCTCAGCGCATTCGGCCAACCTGAAAGACACACAGAACACGGCTGCGGCTCCTGTCCTTGCTTTGGAGGAGCTGAGATCTTGTGATCCACAGTCGGGACTGCTTTGGCCAGGGAATGGGATTGTGGAGGTTCGCAGTCTGGGATGGTTCAGTGCTAGGCCAGTTTGTGGGAATTCCAATTCTTGCTTTGACTATATAACCAGCAATATATAGAAACCACAATTGCTGGTCCACTCCGTTCCCAATCCACGCAGCTTCTCTGCTGTGCCATGAACCGCGGTTCCGAACGCTTCATCAGGACGCGGCCGAGGAGGCGAAAGAGGCGAAAGAGGCGTTGGACCGAAGGGAGATGTGATGCAGATGCG